AATTTAGAACTTATGGATTTTTGTTGATACGGTTTCAAAAACATTTTCAGAGGCTATTTTGCCGCAGGCTTTACAACCTAGATTGAAGGGTGACCAGCCGTCTGCGTTCAGACTCCGCCCTTCGCAAGTTGTGGATGTCAAACACCTGCCCCTCCACTTTCCTCTTCTTTCTCTTTCCCTATGCTCACCAAGTTAGTAGTAATCATCAACAGAAAAAATTTCGATGAGTTCTTCAAGAAGTTAAGAGATGGAAGATTGACGAAGACTATTTGGAACAACTAGTGTTCTTAAGCTTGTCATGATTCCTGCGCCTTGATAATTTGTTGCATAGGTGTAAATATGATCTACTTGCATGTTGATGTATCAAAAAGGAGCTACAGAGTGACAGAATGGTACTACTATGTAAAAAAGCAGAACAATTCTATAATGGTAGGAGTGGAGATTAGTCTGAGAAAGGTATTCAGGTACGAGCTACCATGGAAGTACTTCAATGACTTAAGTTCTCCTGTCTAGAAATGTTCGTAAAGATATCATTAAAAAAAACTATCGTAAAATTTTTCAACCAATTTTCATGATTACCTTACACCCACAAGCTCTCATAGATTAAACAAGAAAAGTTCAGCAGCAGTCACCGGAAACCCCTCGAAATAAGCTGGTAGAAAAATGTAGGCCCTACTATCGTACGTACGATACTACAATCTAAGTTCAAAAAAATGAGATAACGGCAATTTTCCAAAATTACGGTAGATATTTCTCCTTATAATAATTGACAAGAAATTGTATCTACCAATACTATGAAAACATCAACATTAAGAACGGATTCTCAACGAAGTATGGCGATACAGCGCATCAAACAAGGAAGTATTAAAAAGTAACTAAAAGTAAGACTAAAAATAATTTTAAGGTACCTTTTAATTTGCATAAACGATTTGTAGCCGTCGACAAGACACAACATCGGCTCGCAGCTGCTCCTGGTGTGAAAAGATGGAAATTTTTCATTGCAGGTGTATATGCATCTTCATTAGCACAATACTGTATACTGATGCTGGTCCATACCCACTGAAATCACATTGATTAGATGGAGATAAAAGAGGCAATAAGAACTTACTTCGGCGGTAACTATGCGTTGACTATGGGCAAGAGATAGTTCAGAGACATCGTATGCACCATTTACAACGACATGCGTAGCAAGCGCTGGATCCTCCACAATCGTTCCCCCTAGTTTACAAACGCGAATACATGCAGAATACGATTAACACGAAACAACTAGACTAGCTAGTGGAGCCTACATGAAACCTACTGAAATTAGAAATATTGCTTCTTATATCATCGGCGTAGTCATCTTCAAATCCAACAATGCAAATTTTTAGTGACTCAAACACACCAATGCGATGTTTGAGGAGCTAAACTGATGAAATGAGAACACAGATGACTAAAGGATATCGTAAAAATTAATACCAGTGTATTTTCCGTTGGATTAAAAGTCAAATTGTCGCGGTTGCTCCAACAGTCCATAAGCCACGATGGCAGAAGAACTTTCTGCCCAAGTGAAACAAGCATCTAGAATTGAGCTCCGTATTTTTATAATGGACTTCGGTCATAAAATGCTCTCTTCTGAGCTAAACGATATCTAGAGCAGTTACGTTGCAAAATACATTCCAAAACTATTTAAATTGCAGCAAATGTCTACCATTGTAGATACAAATTATCGTTTGTGATTTTAATAAAGCTCGCTTCCGCGCAGTTAACGCGGGTAGTTTGTTGGCTACTACACTGGTAAGACTAACCCGCTCAGAACAAGCATGACAAGAAAGGAAATAACGCTAATGGCATGGTTTTCTATTACAGTAATCCACGCCGCGTATACGACAATGAAGCACGAAGAGGTAGCCGTTTGTGCGCCCCAAGGTTAAAATCACAACACAATGCCACGGATTACTGCAATAAAAAAAACTGTGCCTTTAGCGTTATTTCCTTCCTTGTACAAGCATGTCATTGAGGAACAGACCAGAAACGTTACTGTAGTTGACTTTCTTAACCCATAAGACCAAAAGGTTTTGAAAATATGATAAAGCAAGAAAACCGATAACATAAACTGACCCTGAATGCTCTTCCTCTGGCATGTTTAGTGACTAAGAAGGTGGAGTCACCGTCTGGCTGAAAGTTCGGAATGTTCAAGAACTTCAAATCAACGTCAGACTAGCCACGTTATGCATTACCTCTTTCTTCACGTGACCACCCATATAACGAACTAATTTTCCCCACAAGATTCGTTCATCTTCTTCACCATAACCGATAACGACATTGATGTTCCGTAACATATCACAGTATAGAGCACGTTTTGGTTTGACACGAGGCAGATACTAAATTCTTACTCTTTACAAAGGAATGAAATGACGAGGAGCTCACCAAGTTACGCTGAATTCGGCTTCTAATCAAGGCTGTCCCAATAACTGATGCTTCAGGGCGGATGTCAACGAAGTTGCGGAAAACATCACTGTCAAAGTCGGCAAAAACGAATATCATGTCTCGGAAATTCTCATAATCGAGGCCTGTCTTACTTCGAAGCACAGTACAAGAATATTTTTCCTAAACATGTGATTGTTCCAAACACCAATCAGGAAACGTACATACAAATTGCAAACTAAAATTTCCATGTAATGTTTCGTCTCAAGAAATGCATCGTCTGAGAAGAATTGAAAGTGTTTCCCAAAGTTTCAATGAACGTTTCTGGTCAGAATGACTTGCATCTGATCGTCCTAACAAGTAAATATCAAGCTTGAAATTTTTTAGGAACTTTCCTCCATACCGGCAGATAATGCAACTATAAACCAAAAAAGAAAAAAAAAGAGTATCTCAGATAATCACTGTGGCTAAAACTCGTACATGAAATGAACTTACTTCGAGTGCTCTTATGACAGAATCATTCTCACTCAGATCGACTGCGCATAATGTGCTAACTCTT